CACCCTTAAAGAGGACTCCTCTCGATACAAAGATTCTTGGAAAACATAAATGAGGGAGACTCTCGCTTTACAAGTAAAAGAAAAACCTCTTCATAAAAGCTATAACTTGGTAAGAGACAGCCAGTGTGAAGATGAATGGAGATCACCAAAAAGTGGGGGCCCGTGGGAACTTTAGCTCCTTCATAGGCTCCATAATCTGGATAATTCAAGGAGGTTTTTTAATCCTTTTCATTTTTGTTCTTCTAAAGCTAGTCATCTCTGCCTTGTCCAGTTGCAAGTATGTTGTTGTCTCCTTTGGAAGTTGTTAGATGCTGAAATAGAGTCGACTGGTGGTTTTGTGGCTATGCTTGGAAAGTGAGTCTGCTACCCTGTTTCCTCTCTGAGGGTGTGAAGTTTTTGCAGCTGTGAGGTGATGTTCCAGGGAGGAGTTGTTTTACAAAGCAACCAGTCCACCAGTAGCTTGGAGTCTACTTCCAAAATCACTTTGTGATATTTCAGCTGAACAGACCATGCTATGCCAAAGATAGCAGCCTCAATTTCTGCCTGGTTATTGGTACCTTCCCCCAATGGAACTGTGTAAGCAAAGATCAAGTCTCCTTTGGTATCTCTGAGAATACCCCCAGCCCCAATTCTGCCCTAATTATCCAATGCACTTCTATCAGTGTTGAGTTTAACCCACATATCAGGAGGTTTAATCCATTGGACAAGTGTCATGGATACAATTCTCAATAAGTTGGACTAGATTTTTCCCACTTGAAGGCCAAGTGATGTAAGGAAAAACAGTATGAAGAAGTTTGAAAGTATCCATGATCACTAAAAATTTAACCCTTGCAATATTGGATTGTTTACCTCCATACTTTTTAGCACACCTATTCTTCCACAAATTCCAACAAATAAAGATTGAAGTTGATTGGAGAATAAGTTTATGGGGCTCATTACTGTAATTAGTGTTCCACCATCTCATGATCATGTATTTAAGAGGAATGTAGTCAGTTTGGATGCCAAGGGGGACAACAAAGAACTTCCAAATATTTTTGGCAAACAATCCTGAGTTGAAAACATGCTCAATGGTGTCCAGTTCTGGAGCTTGACAACAAACACAATCTGCAGGTCCAATTCCAAACTTGGAAAGATTCTCTTTTATTGGTAGTTTGCCTCTGAATGCTCTCTATAATAGAAATGAGCATTTGAATGGAATATTTCTATGCCAAGTGTTGGTATTAATCTTGGTTTTTGTTATCTGTTCCCTAATGGAATTCCAGGCAGAAGAGCATGTAAACTCTCTATTTGTGTTGAGGCTCCACACTGGCTGATCTGGAATACCCTGTTGAAGCTGAAGCTGAGTAGCAAGGTTGTGCACCTGAGTTTGAGGAGCTAGCTGAATGATCTTGTTCATATTCCATTGTCCCTCTTTTATAAATTCTGAGATAGTGGCATTGTTGAATCTGTTGTGGACCAACCCCAAACCAATTATCCCACCAGAATAAGCATGAACCAGCCCTGATTTTCCATTGTATGTGAGTCTACACCTTATGTTTATTCCTTGTCATAAGCCTCCAATCATGGGAGTCTAGACAACCCCTTTTTTTGCTCACAAGGTTAGATCTTTGACAATATTTAGCCCTTAGGAAATCACCTCATAAAGTTTGCTTGGATCTAAAAATCCACCAGTGTTTGTATTGGAAAGATTGACAAACATCACTCATGAGTCTAGCCCCAATCCCCTCCTCATCATAAGGAAAACTTAGGTTCTTCCAAGAAGACCAGTGATAGTTTTACTTATCATTTCTCCAACCCCAATAGAATTCAGCCATGATGCCCTGAATTTGCTTAATAGTGGTCGAAGGAGGGGAAATAGCTGATAGGAGATGTATAGGAAGTGACTGGAGGACATGCTTGATCAGAGTAGCTTTTCCCCCATAACTCAACATTTTTTAGTGCCAGCCTGTGATTCTGTTAACCACTTTGTTGACCATTTCTGAGAAATAGATAATTCTAGGTCTACCAATAAAGAGAAGGCATCTAAGATAAGTGATTGGAGCTTCTTTATGGTGAAAGCCAGTATAATTCTTGATCATGTCAGAAGTAGTCCTGAAGGCATTGGATGGAAGCAAAAAGTGACTTTTGGTTTTATTAATGAATTGTCTTGAAGTTTGCTCATAAATAGCCAAAGTCTTCATAATCAGCTTAAGTGAATGCTTCCTTTCTGAGGTAAAAATGATGATATCATCTGCAAAGCTCAGGTGGTTAATTTGGGCCCCTTATTTCCATATAGAAACCATGGTATAGAGGGTCTTGGTGGAGTCTGTTCAAAGATCTGGAGAGCACTTCATCACCTAAAATAAATAGGGTCAGGGAGAGGGGGTCACCTTGCTTCAAATCTCTTGTTGAAAGAATCCATATCTCTTGCCATTGATAATGATGGAGTACCAATTATTAGACATGATCCTCCAAGTCATATCAATGAACACTTCATCAAACCCCATTTTCCTAAGATCCAAGCAAATGTATAACCATGAGACCCTGTCATAGGCCTTAGCCATGTCTAATTTGATCACTACATTGCTACCAATGGTGGACTTTTTAATCTGATGAATGATTTCTTGAGCAAGCATAATATTCTCAGAAATACTCCTACCTTTGAAAAATCCTGATTGGTTGGTGGAGATTAAGGAAGGTAAAATAAGGGCCAATCGACGACATAGTAGCTTGAAGATGATTTTGTTAGTAAAATTGCTCAAACTGATGGGTCTGAACTGAGAAAGTTTATTAAAATTGTTCACTTTGGGGAGTAAAACCAAACAAGCATGAGAGAAACTTGGGGAGCCTCTGTCCACTGAAAAAAGCATGAATGAGAGCCAACAAATCATGTTTAATAATGCCCCAACACTTTTGAAAGAAACAACCATTCATTCCATCAGGACATGCTGCAGAGTTAGAATTCATAGAAAAAACCACCTCTTTCAGTTCCTCAATAGTTGGAAGTGAACTCAGTTTGTTGTTTTGATCTTGAGTAACCAGCCTTGGGATACAATTCATAGGTGTCTCATCAATAAACTTCTCTTCTCCAGTGAAAATATTCTGAAAATGTTCACAGGCAGATTCTGCTATATATCCATCCCCCTGTATCCATTCATCATTGTCATCAAGGATTTTGTGGATAAACAACTTCATTCTCCTTCCTCTAATCACGACATGGATATTTTTTGAGTTGCTATCTCCCTCCTTGAACCAATGAAGCTGTGATTTTTGTCTGAGAATAGAGTCTTCCATTTTCATGTATCTGATATAATCAACATTAATTGCATGAAGTGCATCTCTATTTTCATTTGTATTGTCTTGAATCAAGCTTTCTTCTGTAATTTTCACCTTTTCCTCATAATCTTTGACTTTGGCATAGATGTTTCCAAATTATATTTTAGACCAAGAACTGAGTGTAGCAGCAACCATCTTCATTTTCTGATGGAAAATCCACAGAGGGTCCCCTTCCATATGTCTGTCCCAACAATCAGTTACAGTGTCTAGAAAAGTAGGTTGATCTTCCCAGCAGTTAAGAAATCTGAAGTATTTGATGTAGTTTGCATGCATGACATTCATCTCCATGAGAATTGGACAGTGCTCTGACCTCACAAAAGGAAGGTGAGTGATGCTAGTGTGTGGCATCCCCTACAACGACTTGTCATTAGCCATAGCTCTATCCAACCTTTTCCAAATTCTAAAGTTGATACCCCTTTGGTTAGACCAGGTAAATTTAGGTCCATTGAACCCTAAGTCCATTAGTCCACAAGCTTCAATAACACTAATAAACTCAAGGCTCTTTCTCATGTTGTAAGGGATCCCTCCAAGTTTTTCCTCAGTGTTGGTAATGAGATTGAAATCACCCACAGCACACCAAGGAACATCATTTATAGTATCAACATAGTGAAGCATTCTTTCCCATTGTGATCTTCTGAGGTAGTCTTTGCACTTAGCATAAACAAAAGTATTGATGTAAGTACCAAGTGCTTCCATATGGTTGATTTCACAGGTGATTTGTTGTTCATATGCTTACAGAACTTTACAGGAAACCTCAGTTGTCCAAAACAACCAAATCTTTCCATTGTTGTTTCTAGTAACATGATCCATGGCTCGCAACAGTATTGGTGCAAAAGGATTGGTCATTCACTTGCTTATCATTCGCGAGTCGAACTCGCTCTCTTGCCACGACTTTCACTCACTCACTTGAGTCGGACTCAATCACTTTTTGAGTTTGGAGGATCATTGTTGATACCTCTAGCATTCCATATGATTGTGTTAATCATTGAGATGATTTGAAGGTGAATAATATTGTGTTTGGTCTGCCTACAGTGACTGAGGCAATGAGGAGAGACTTCTTGGGGGGGGGAATTCTCCAAATGTATGCCTCTAGGGGAGATACCTTGCTTGGTAGTAACCTATTGAAGCTCATTGTCCAGATCAATATCATTACTAGGACTAAAAGCTTTGATCAATAGTTCACTAGTTTCATCATCCTCATCCTGAATATTAGGTGGCTGGTTGTCAACATCCACTTCATCTTCTGAATGCTGAACATCATACTCATCAATCTCTTGACCTCTTACAGTTTTTTGCAGGTTTGTCTGATCAGGGGGCTTGCCAAGGGAAGGGGTATTAAACTGAGCTTTAAGAGGGATCACACCCAGACCTTGTTGCTGATCCACCATAATAATTTTTTTATAGGACCTCAAATCATCTACCTGATGATTGGGATCAGTTTCAGTCTTAGACTATTCATGTTGCTGTTTTTTTGCCTGCTTCTTCTTGTTGGCCTCCCTCTTTTTCTTGCTTGGTTTGTTTTTGCTTTTTGGGTGGTCATACGTTTGCTAGTGCTGGCTTTGTCACCCATGTCTTTGGCCATGCTGCCTTTCTGAAGGTTGTCATTCCATTTTTGTCATTAACCTGTTGATTTCCATCCTTAGTGTGATCCTATTTTGTTATTGTGTTCCTGTACCTTGGTTACTCTATTTTGTTTGATGAGCAGAACTTTTAGTGGTAGCAGGGGTTTGAAGGTCACTCATATGGTCAATCAAAGGGTTCTCATGAATAACATGAGACAATTCCCTCCCCTTAGGTTCCCCTTTCTGCATGTTAGTATGTTTCTCCTTCACAACCATCCTCCCTCCATTAACTTTCTCAGTCACAACAAAGGGGATTTCAGGGGAAGGGGTCTCATTTTCAACACAATGATCATCAACAACAATTACAGGGGTTGGGGATGGTGGGGTCTGCGCATTAGATTCCACCTGCTTAGTATCAGAAAATTTGAGCTTCATACCTGATTCCTGCATTTGCTGTTGTGCATGGTTTGCTTTGGTCTGTTGTGCCTGTTCCTGTAAGTGTATTGTCTTACCTTGGTCATGGTTTTGGGTGTGATTCTTATTCTTCCTCCTGGTCTGCGTTTGCCATTGTTCTTCCTTTTGAGTGTTGTTGTTATCAGTTGCTTCCCTTTTTTTTATTTGCTTATTTGACTGCATTTGTTCCTTCTCCTCCTGTTGTTGCTGGTTGTTTTTTTTCTCTTGGTTGTTTTGCTTGTCTTCACTCTTCCCATATCCTTCTCTTTTTGATTTCCTCATCTCTTATCTTTAAAGTACAAGTTCCTGCATAGTGTCCCTGATGCTTGCAATATAAACAATAAAGGGGAGCTTCCACATACTCCACCAGTTGCTTGCCTTTAGAAGGATCCTTCTTGAAAAAACCAAGCCATAAATGTTGAGGTCTTTCTTTTGTAAGATCTATTTGAACTTTGACTTTTGCCACACTTCCTCTGTTTTTTCCATGGAATCAGAGTCAAGGTACAAAGCTATACCAATAGGGGACAAAAAAGCAGTTAAACACTCCATGTAATAGCAGTGCCAAGGAAGTTCTAGCAGTGTAACACAAATGGGAACAACTGGAGTTTCTTCCTCAGGCTTAAAGTATGGAATCCAAATCTGTAGTCTCATTAGGTGCCCTGTAATAAACATTCTTTGTTTTGTCCATACTCTGACATGGTCAACTTCATTGTCAAGGTCAATATAAATGTGTCTTGAGTTAGAGTGTGCAATTTTAACTCCACCAGTTAGCTGTATTTGAGCAATGAAACTTCTTCTTATCACCTCCATTTTGGACATTGAATTGATGAATTTTCCAACAAGAGTGTATTTGCATCTTTCTACCATTTTGATCATAAAATCTTCTTCATAGAAAGTAACAGAGGGACGTCCTTGTCTAGAGGAAATAACAGAGGGGTGATGATAGCATGGGTGGTACTTTTAGCTTGGTTTTCTCTAAGTCTGGTAGCTAGAGACTGAACAACAGTGGGTGGGGAAGGCTTCGGGGTTTGAGAGTTGATATTCTTATTGCTAGAGTTGTTGAAAGGGGGTCTGTTTTGGTTCTTTTTGGGACTGAATTGGTTGGGTTTGGGATGGTTGGGTCTGTAGGTATCAAAATTGGATGAGACTTTGATGGGTGGAGGAATTATAGGATCCATTGTGATGTTTCCTTTGTTAGTGTTCACCACAGTTTGCCCATTTCCATCAGCCTGCACATTATGAATACCTTTCTCATGCTTATTTTGGTTCTCAGAATTAAGCAAATTGCTAGACTTATTGTGATCATGCTGATTGTAAGCATTAGGAACTGACTTACCTATTATGTTGTTGTTGACCTTTGGAGTGTGATCCTTACCATATTCTTATCTTCTTTGGTCTCCATTAGTATCCTTAGGCATTTGATTGTGATCAATACTGTTGCCCTTCACTGCAATTTGGTTTATGCTCCTTTCTTTTCCCAGAGGAATTTCAACAAACACCTTACCTGCATTAGGAGTGTTAGCTAAATTAGAGTGATTAGTGCATTTAGAACTTACCTCAATGTTGTTCTCCACGTTTTTGTTGCCTCCTGATGGTTGCTCCCCTCCCTGAGCTTCATTGGCAGTGTGATCCATTGATATGGACTTACTAATTGTTACATTCTTGCCAGCAGCCTTAGAGGGATTAATTGATCGATTCATGCTTGAACTTTGTTGGGATGTAGTTGTGGTTATCATACCATATTTCTGTATAGGAATACTTGTATGCGCGCGCATTCATCAACTTGTTCAATTGAGTTACGACGACTTGGTCGGAATCTTTGCCAGAATTTTTTCCTTCATTAACATAGTTGAAATTGATATGGTTAGGAACGCTATGTTGAGTAGAATCTAGAACTGTATTTTGTACTTCCAGAATCTGCCTCAAATCCAACAAATTCATTTGAGTACTGAGGCGAGTTTGAAGAACTTTCCTCTAAATTCGCCTAAACAAATCTCTCAAATGGTAAGAGAGAATCGTTTGATTTTACAACCATATGTGGATCGTGGGGTGTAGAGTTCATTCCATCAATTAGAATGATTTGAATCACTCCAGATTTTGCCAAGGAAATAATTTCTTGTGCCTACTTCAACTCATCTTCCGAAAGAGGAACAATGATCACTGAACTGAAATTCAAATTCGTAGAGTTGTGGTGTGAATTTGAGAGTGATTCTTGTTGGAGAAGATATGTTTCTCCAGTGCGCTGCTTTTCATTTTGGTCCGAAGGTCGGGGGACCTCCGTCGGCGGTGTAGAAGCCATTCCGATGGAGTTGTGTTTCAGCGCTCCAAGTGATCGTTAGTTACCGTTAGGGGTCTTTCTTGGGTGCGAATTTTTTAGAGAGAGAGCGTAAAGAGAGAGAAAATTCATGAAATGGGAAAGCGATTATGCATAACTTTCACAAATCATATTCATATCTTCATAGATTCTTAGTCAAAATCATGAATAATGCACGGGTATAAATAAAATTAATTGAAAGACATGTAATTAGATCTAAACATGCATAGGAAGATTAAAACTGAACAATTAACTCCAAATCAAATAATACCCATGGAGATTGCATGAACCCTAATCAAATTTAGGTGAGATTTCATTGGGAGAATTTATTTCTTTTGGAACCCAATGGATGAATGGAATCCAATCCACACCTTGATAAACAAAGTCCAAAAACAATGAAAGAAAAAGTAGACTTGAAGCTTGAACCCTAGATTTCTTCCTTGAAGCTTGAGAGAGTTTGGAGAGAATGAACTTGGATTAATATTAGCGATTTTAGAGAATGAACAGGTTTGGGTAGATTTAGAAGTTGAAAGGTAGTTATAGGTCTTAGAATTTGGGTCAAAACAACATAGTATAGGTACTAAATGCATAGAAAAGAATCCAAATACTCTTAAGAATAACTGTCGAATGGCTTCTACGGTTTGGACCTACGGTCTGTAGGACTTTCGACGGTCAATATTGGTCAACCGTAGAATCAACTTCAGAAACGCAAAATTCCTTCAACTTCCCACGAGATCAATCTACAATCCGCCATTCAATCTATAGTCTGTAGACCCCTTCTATAGAACCCAAATTCAAGTCCAAAATTTTACTAAGTTTGGTCCAGTTTTACGAGTACCATCAACGACACGTCCAAATTCCTACGAATTGTCCTGGTTACTCATGGATCAAAGTTCAGTAGCTAGAATTTTCTAAAACTTGACTCCACCATATGACTTCCCTTTTACGACCTATAGGACTTCCTAGAGTCCGTAGATAGGACTCGTTGTCACTGCCCTCAGTGCTAAAATTTGAATTTTCCTTTCCTTTCAACTTTCCAATTTCTGAGGTGTTACAATATATTCGTCCTCGAATGAGACTCAAGCTAGCATGAATAGAGTAGGAGAGAAACTCAAAACTCAACATGAATGCAAATCTCATCATAATGCACATAAACATGGAGAATCACTCCAAGCTAAGTCGTAACGTCAAAAATCAAGTTTTTCATAAATATGCATGCATATGGAAACATGAGAATGACTAAAACTTATGAATCCGAAAGAATGAACCATGCAGAACTAATATCTCAAGCTAGAATAGGAGTGGAGGGAAGGAGATGAGGATACCAGGACATCATATCGGCTTCGACCTCCCAAGTAGCACCCTAAATTAATTGATTCCTCTAAAGAACTTTCACGGAAGGAACTTCATTATTTCTCAACTTCAAAATTTGTCGCTCTAAATCTCAACCGGAACCTCTTCATAAGAAATACTTTCTTTAACTCCCAAACTTTCTAAAGGCACAATGGATGGCAGATGTCCAACAATCTTTTTCAACAAAGAGACATGAAATACATGATGTACCGATGCTGAATCATTAGGTAACTCTAATTCATAAGCAACTTTGTCAATACGTTGCACAATCTAATATGGCATACATATTAAGGAATAAGCTTCCCTTTCTTTCCAAACCTCATCACACCCTTCATAGGTGAGATTTTCAAATAAACCCAATCATCAACTTCAAATTTAATCTCTCTTCTTCTAACATTAGCATAAGACTTTTGGTGACTTTGAGCCATTTTCAACCTTTCATGAATTAGTCGAACTTTCTCCAAAGCCTCATGCACAAACTCAGGCCCTATTAAAGTGGCCTCATAAACTTCAAACCAACCAATAGAAGACCTACACCTCCTACCATAAAGAGCCTCAAATGGAACCATCTTAATACTAGAATGATTGTTATTATTATAAGTAAACTCAATCAAAGGCAAATGATCATATCAACTACCTTTGAAATCAATCACACAAGCTTTTCACTTATCTTTTAAGGTCTCGATAGTACGCTCAACTTGTTCATCTGTTTAAGGGTGGAAAGTCGTGCTAAGTTTCATTTAAGTACCAAGACCCTTCTGAAATGACTTCCAAAACTGAGATGTGAAATGAGTACAACGATTGGAGATAATGGATACGGAAACTCCATGTAACCTCACCATTTACCGAATATAAACTTGGTGTACTCTTCTGCTGAAAATGAAGTCTTTAGGAGCAGAAAGTGAGTCAATTTTGTCATTTGATTCACAATAACCCAAATCAAGTCAGGCTGATGATGCATACAAAGCAACCCCGTAATGAATTCCATATTCAAAGCTTCCCACTTCCATGTAAGAATGTTAATATTTTGAGTCAAACCACCCGGTTTCTAATGCTCAATCTTCACTTGTTGACAATTCATATATTTATCCACAAATTCTGCAATATCCTTCTTCATCCCATTCCACCAATAGACCTCCCACAAGTTGTGGTACATTTTGGTGGCTCCCAGGTGAATAGAATACCGAGAACTGTGAGCTTTTGTCAAAATCAGATTTCTCAACTCATCAACATTTAGAAGACACAACCAACCTTGATATTGAATGGCATCATCTCCCTCTTGGGAGAAAGCCTTAATGGGTTTTTTGGAAATCGACTTTTCAAGTCAATCATAACTGAATAATCAAGATCTTGCATATCTTTCACATCCAATAAAAGATACGTTTCCGAACCATTTTGAACATTGACTCCATCTTCATTGGAATCAACCAAATGCACAACCAATCGAGTCAACCTATGAACATCACAAACTAACTCTTTCTTACCATCATCAACATGAGCAACACTATCCATCTACAATTGACTAAGAACATCCACCATCACATTTGTGTCACCCGGATGATAAAGGACACTATATCTTAATCATTCAATAACTCAAGTCATCTCTTTTGGTGAA